ACCCTTGTAAAAAGTTGATTCTCCTGCTGTTTATAATCCCCTTTTAAATACTGGAAGGCTGCAATGAGGTGTCCTTGCAGCCTTCTCTTCTCCAGGCTCAACAAGCCCAGCTCCCTTAGATTCACTGGGCCCGTCTTTTGAATTTGTTGAGGTCCCTCTGGATGGTGTCACTTTCTCCTAATGTGTCAACCACACCACTCAGCTTAGTGTCATTGTCAAACTTGCTGAGAGTGCACTTGAGCCCATAAGATCATGGCACCGAATGGATTTATCATATTCCCTGCCATGCGTCAGCTTCTGGTAAACTCAAACGATAAAATGGGCTGTTAAAACTATGTTGAAGGCAACGGGTGGTGGGACATTTAGGCACTAGGAGAAGCATTTGGCAGAAGCCACCTGCTTGGTCAGTACTTGATGATCTAATAATCAAGATGGTCCTGTCCAATCTAGCTGGTCCTTTCGCCCTTCATGGTCACAGAATTCATGGTCACTTAACTAGGCTGAACCATGACAAACTAGTATTGCTGCTGTTTTGGATTTAGTATAATAATGTTAATAACACAAATTTCCCGCTGTTCCTGAGCAATTCTTGTACTAAATCAATTTCTACTTCTCACATTACCCTGTATCACAGTTATAGAATGGCTTAGGTTGAGAGTATGTTAAAGACAATCTAGTTCCAAGCTCCCTGTTGTGGCTACCAAGGATCTCAGCCAACCTGGCTTGGAATGCCTCCAAAACATGGCGCATCCACAACAATCACTTATCAAATATTCATATGGATCCAGGCTATAGGGACAGAAAACATGTCTTCAACGGTGTCTACTATACTTTTCCAGTGTATGCCACTGGTACACAAAAGCTGTTCTCTATGTACGTTTTCTTTTTCCAAGGCCCTACTAGCAAACTGAGCAAACCCAAAATCACTTGATCGTTCTAATTTTTCAAAACCAAATTGGCCTCCTAATGCTGAATAATGTGAGAGCAGTTTGTTAACATTTTCCAGGGAAACAGTGTCAATGATGCTTATAAACAAATTCCCTCACAGTAAATAATTCCTTCTCTCTATCTTTCTCAGGCACGCCAGATCTTAGATTTAACACCTGTGAAGGAGCTGGTGAGCCTGAAGTGGAATATGTATGGACGTCCCTATTTCTGCTTCCTGGCTTTATTCTATGTACTCTACATGGTCTGCTTCACTATGTGCTGTGTCTACCGGCCACTGAAACCTCGAACAGGCAATAAGACAAGCAGTAGAGACAATACAGTCTATGTCCAGAAAATGCTGCAGGTACTGTGTCAGTAGGAATGAGAGTTTCACAGGCAGCACTGGGCCATTTCTATCTCACCTACTTATCTGGAAAGTCCAAGTGTCTCCTATTCTCCAGTTTTCACAGCTGTCATCCTTTCCCCATCAGCTGACCTTCACCAAGTGAGGAACACTAAGCATGATCTGTTCTCTGTTGTTTGGGCTGGGATAGTTCCTGTGGCCTTGTCACGTCTAGCCCTGTTTGCTACAGTAACAGTGGGCCTTCTTTTCCCCCATTCTCTGTTTTAATTTCTTTTCATTCCTTTTTCTCCTTTCAGGAATCTTATGTAACATATGAGGATGAGTTGAGGCTGGTGGGAGAACTGATCACAGTTATTGGAGCTGTAGTAATTTTGATCCTTGAGGTAAGAGAAACAGTGAGCTATTGAGTTTTGAACTGAATCAAGACATGATTTTATTTTGTGCATAAAAATGAGTTTGTGCTTATAACTCAGTAAGGGTTATCTGCTGAGTCTAAATGTTTCAGTATACATCTGTTGCAGTTGACATTATCAACAGTATTTATTGGATGAAACAAATGCTTTGACAGCTTACTAGTAAAACTCTAGGTACTGAAGAATCAATTAGATGGACTGATCATTATCAAATACTATCTGTAGGGTAGTGCTAGATTTCACATTAGCATCATCTGTGGTTCCAATTGAACCCAACTATTACATGAGATTATAAGAGACTTTCTATACTGATGTGGGAGATGGGTAAAATGAATCCTGTGCTTATACAGGAAAGTTTATGTTTAATTGGAGAGCAGCAACAATGTGGGCCTATAAAAGGAGTGTTCACAACCAAAATTCTGCAGTAGATGCGTCTAGGTGATTTCCTGATCGTGAATTTTAGAATTTTAATTTTAAAATTAGATCAGAGCTGAAGTTTTTTAAACTAAACATGTACACACATACGGTATCATTGTACCATGAAGTCGAAGATCAAAATTTTTATATAGAGAAAACTCAAATGCTGGTTCCAAAGCTAATGACTGTAGTAAGATTGAGTTTTCAAACCCCATTAAAAAAAAAAAAGAGAGAGAGAGAGAAAAAAGAAAGAGATTTATCTCTCCTCATATATGTTTCACAAGAACAGGTGTTTCATCCTATTCTATTTTTGGTCAGGACTCTGGGGCTCTGCTACAGCTAGCAAAGAGGATGACATAACAAGCCCCTCTGAGTTCTTTTTTGTCTTTTCTCAGCTATTTGTCTAGTCTCTTCAAAGTATTGTACACTAACTGCAGGATCATAGCTCTGTGTTGCAGAATCTCTGCCTCATATCAAAATTTCTCAATCTGCCTGCTTCATTCATTCTGTTTTTAAAGTAAAATTATAATCAAACTGTGAAGCAGCACACAGAGCAGATACAATTGACCCCAAGACTCTGTTGATATTAGTGGTTACCTTAAGTTTAATAATGGAATCCTGAAGTCAATAGGATATCATTCTTAGATCCCAGATATCCTTAGAGTTGGAGCAGCGAAATACTTTGGACAAACCATCCTGGGAGGACCTTTCCACATAATTGTGTAAGTACACCACTTTTTAAGTTTAATAAATACATGATCTCTCATTTCCTCCTGCAACTTCCCCCTCCCATCCAACCCTGTGTTTTTCTAGATGAGTCACCTCCTCTGTTCCCTTAGAGCACAGTTGTCCAACCGTGGCTTGCCTTGGCCACACTGAGTAAAGAATTGTCTTGGGCCACGTACAAAATATATAACAGAGTTAATGTATATAAGTAACAAAATAGAAACAGGATAGCAGAAACACTTATCAAGTGCACACCGCAAAACTAGTTAAAAATGTATTGTAAATTATTTTATACTTTTGTGAACTTTTTGAAATAGTCAAAATTAAAAAAAAAAAAAAAAGTTCTCAGCACTACATGAGCATTCTGGGTGTTTCCTTCACAGTGAATTTGTTCACTTATTAAATTATAATAAGAAATAACACAAGTTGGAGTTTAATAATTAAATAAGAAAACTTACATGCCTACTTAATAACAAAAAGCACAAGTCCTCACGTACACTGTAGGTGAGTTGAAATGTTATTATCAGTAATCACTGTGTTTTCTCATCAACTGGCACAAGTACGTGTAACGTGCAACACACGCAGGTTTAATGTGTCTGAGTGGGTGCAAGTGGCAGAGTTGGCACTGCACTGTTCCCTCCCCTCCACAATGTACTGTTGTAGCCTAGACAATCTGCCCTCAAACTATTTGTAATCAACTGATGACAAATAGTACTAAAAATCAAATCATAATGTTAAAAGTTTACGATCTTGTGGGGTCGAATTACTAGCTGTCTTGGGCTCTATCCGGCCCATGGGCTGCGAGCTGGACATGCCTGCCTTAGAGCATTCCTATTGTTGATTTCTTTCTCTTGTTGGCCCAAGTGGTGTATAAGAAGCCAGGCGAATGGACAGCTAGAACTGAGCATGCTGATTGGTCTCTGCCTATGAGCTGGTGGCTGTATGTGCCTGTCTTGAAATTTTTGTCAAGAAAAGAAAAAGTAAGGGTAAGATCTCTTTACTGAACGTTTTTTTACTGTCTCTTCTTCCTTTGCAGTATCACATATGCTTGCATGATTCTGGTAACCATGGTGATGCGTCTTACCAGCACTACTGGTGAGGTGGTGCCCATGTCCTTTGCCCTGGTACTAGGATGGTGCAATGTCATGTACTTTGCACGAGGCTTCCAGATGCTTGGGCCCTTCACCATCATGATCCAGAAGGTATAAGAAAAAAAAAAAAAAAGGGATCGTTGCACATGTTGTGACACCTCTTTGCACACAGGGAGAATTGAAAGAATACTTTTTCTCCCTCTGGACTTGCATTAGTGGCAAATGGACAAGTTCCTGTCTGAATGAAGGGTTTGGGACTTTCATATTCTCTCTTTCATGCAGAAGCTTCCTCTCATCCACTTTTGATGTTAGAATCTGGAAATGATTTACAAGGGTTGCATGGTGGCTTGGTGATACAGTTGGGTCTTATGGTGGCTCTGTCTTTGCTCTGCAGATGATATTTGGAGATCTTATGCGCTTTTGCTGGCTCATGGCTGTGGTGATACTAGGCTTTGCATCAGGTAAGTCTAGAAAAGGAAAATGGTGTTACATTACTTTGCCAACTCCTTTGATATGAATTAAGTGCTTTGGGTTTCAGATTACTCTCATGTCATACTCTGAATAAAAGTTGGCAAAAGTAGTGATATTGTGCATTTTCTATTTCTTTGAATATAGACTCTTTCTTTGGACTGATTTATGTTCTTATTAGCTTGGTTTTCAACTCTTGCTCTTTCCAGGGTAATTGAAATTAGGACAATCCAGATAAATCTACGTATATCTAAGTCAAAATTTAAAAGCATATTGTATTTATGGTGTTTGTATGTGAAAAGTGACACATTTAGCTTTATTCTTTCCACGAATAAGAAAAAATTTCCATTTGTAGACAATTTTGATGACAGTTAATAGGCACCATTTTTTCTAAATGGAGGAATTCAGTGACACACCTTTGATTCATATTCTTTCATATTCATATATTCTTTGTCAGGTGCCACTTTGTCAGACTGCCTTTGTGGTGGAACATTGTTGGGAAGGTTAAGCATCTGCCACCGTACCACCAGCATGGTGCTGCTTCTGACATTGTGGACCAACATAATAAAATGGGAAGCATTACTTTAGGAGCAGACTTCCTACATGTAATTCCTTCCCAGACTAGCTTGTATTGTCAGCTTCACTTAATAAGACTCTGTTGTTGCTCTTGGATTATGATTCCCATTTTTAAACTATATCTTTTATTTTTCCCCATTGTTCTCCTTTAGCTTTTTACATCATCTTCCAGACAGAGAACCCTGAAAACCTCGGGCAGTTCTACAACTATCCCATGTCCTTGTTCACCACCTTTGAGCTGTTTCTCACTATCATTGATGGCCCTGCAAACTATGATGTAGACCTGCCTTTTATGTACAGTGTGGTATACTTTGCCTTTGCCATCATTGCCACCCTCCTTATGCTCAATTTGCTAATTGCCATGATGGGTGACACCCACTGGAGAGTGGCTCATGAACGAGATGAACTCTGGAGAGCCCAGGTAATCTGAGTAGGGTGTTCTCTTTGAATAAAAGTAAGGACAATTTGTCCAGGAAAAATATGTTACTCAATTCAGTTACTTATTTTACTTTCTCTGCACTATAAAGTCTTTCCCAGACCCTCACTTTGCTCATGGGCTTCTCATGGTTCAATAAGCCCTTTAATTCTGCTTTACTGATTCTGTGCATCAGCTTCCAAGTGTTGTTTTATCAGTATGATTTTCTATAGACTATATTTCTGTAGATCTTCCCATGTGAAACTACCTTCCCTTATATCTTTGGTATAGTAATTTTACTCTACCAATATATTACCCTGTATACCAACAATATTACCCTATTTTGAACAGCAGAGGGAAAAGCCCATTCAACCTTTCTTGTCCATACTGTGTCCCCCTTCACTAAGTTTCTTCACTAAGAGTGGAATTTCTTTTTAAATAGAATTAAAGTTGCCTCTTTATTAAAAATCACATTCTTGTGTAATTGAGAGTTAAATAATAATTACAGAGATTGTCTGGGAGGAAGATACAATGAAAGCTAATGGTTAGAAGTTGGTGGGTAATGTTTTTGGATCCATTAAGAGAAGTTGGCCTGACTCACTTCCTGAAAAGACTCTGGCCTTTTGATGTATTCATACAGATCGCTTACAGAACTGCTCAACAGGAAACCCACTTCCTAGTATTTTTCCTGAGATAAAATAGAAATTCAGTTAACTGTTGTTGTGTGGCCAGGGTAGTTAAGTTCTGAAAATTGTTAACGCTGATGTAAATGTTGTCCTCTTATTTATCTTATAAATTAATTATTCTAGTCGTGTTCATCAGGTATAGAAGGAAACAAGTTTAACATTTTTTTTGAAGAGCACCATTGGCAATCACAGCACAGTTAGAATTAAAATTGTGACTTGCTCTGTAACAAAGAATATTGGCTCCGTGTTTTTCTTTCATTATGTATGGAGCTGTTGAATGCTTGTGAGACTGGTAATTTTGAAAAGAGAGTGATTTATTTTTTTTTTCCTAACTCAACCCAGTCCTTTGTCTTATTTATTTACTTATTTTTGTTTTAATGGTAAAGATTGTTGCTACCACTGTCATGCTGGAACGAAAACTGCCACGGTGTCTCTGGCCTCGCTCTGGGATCTGTGGGCGGGAGTACGGGCTGGGGGACCGATGGTATCTCAGGTGAGTTCTCTGCCAGTGCACATAAAGATCCCAGAAGAGACTTCCAAATGCATGGGTCAGAGTCATTCTAATGGCCTAGAGAGGAGAGTTTGTGGTCCCTTCTAGAATAAAGATCCTAGTTTGCTTTATGTTTATGAGTGACAAACACTGTTCTGCTCAGAAAGTTCTGCTATTGAATTCTTCTCATCAGTTGATGCTTTCTTTTCCATTATTTCCAGAAGAAACATCCTAGAAATTGCATGGTTATAAAGCATAGTTATATTTTTTTCAGATACCTTGTAATGATGATAAAACTTCACTGCTGTGCTTAGTTGACTGAGCACTTGATGCTTGAAAGAGCAGAGGCAAAAGCAATCAGTGAGATGTTCAGCAGTAATGAACTGTGCTTCAGATGATTCAAAATAAGACAGGAATAATTAAAGATAATTTCTTTTTGGTGTAAATATAATAACTATATTTTATAATATGCAAGGATTGTTTCTAGTGACAAATTCTCGGGTCTGAGATTTCCTTTTAAGCCCTGAAATAACAAACTGTCTGTAGTCTCAATAACAAAATATTCCTAAAATTAATCAGCATTTCTACCGGTGTGAGAAAAGTATAAACCATATTTGGGCATATGCTCTTTCTCACTGCTTTATTTTTTGCTGATAAAACCAGAAGGGATGGTGGTGGCTGTATGAAACAGGACTCTGCTTGGTTTTAGGGAGAAGTGAGCCTTGCAGATTTTCATGTTTACCAGTGAGAACAAACAGATCTAAAGTGTTATCAAGGAACAAGGATTTCAGACCAACGTGTAAAATGTAACTTTGCAAAAGCAGTATCCCAGCAGAAATTCTTCATTGGATACAAAGGAAAAGCTCCGAAAATAATGCCTCCTTTTTTTTTTTTTTTTTTTTAATGTTCTCTTACAGTGTCAGAAACAAATGTTGGTTCCCACTAATATTCTGTTAACATTTTGTTGCTGTGTGACAGACGGCAGAGAGGCAGTCTGGCAAAATGACATCTGACATGGAAGTGCATAGGAAGCAGAGGTGTGCCATTGAACTCCTCCACGTGGAAATAATTGCACATACTGACATTCACTGATACTTGCTGAACACTTATTGAGACTTAGCAGTGGATGTAAGAACAGTGAGATGGTGGATGGCACATTTCAGCAATTACACCATTGTAGACGCTGTGAAACAGTGAGTCATCTCTGCTGGTGTAGATTTTTATGAGCACAGCATGCAGACTTTTGTTCATCACTGGTGAAAATTGCCAATAGTGGTGGCTATTTTGAAAAATAGTGTTTTATAGCTAGAATTTGTTGTACCAAATAGTGTTGTTGTGCTCTTTGTTGCTGTTTCCATTGAAACAAATGGGAGGCATTACTTTGGGAGCATGTGAGAAGTTCTTTCAGATTACATGTATGTTTGTCATATATAGTATGGGACGATATTTCCAAAGTCATTTCTTAAGTGAAGCAGAGAAGGGTTGATGAAAGTGGACAAGGTAAATCAAAGTTCAGCAAAAGATAAATGACACATCCTGACACTTGCAACTATGGAGTATTTAAGGAGGAGAGACAGCAAGGAAGGAAATAGATGAGTATATGTGGATATAAAAAGGATCTGGAGCTGGAGTTCAATGGTGTGGAATTGCCAGTCATTTACAGCTGACAAATCAGAAAAGGCAAATCATGGCCAGGGAGAAAAAACTAAGGGCTGAAGTCAGTATCAGGAATGAAAGCCTAGAAAGGAGATAATTGTGCTAGCTGCTGAGTTGGTAAGGCTACTTTTATGAGATCATATGTTAGAGGTGGAAGAAAACCAAAAGAATTATTAACCAGTTTCCTGTTTCTGCATAGGTGTTTCTGGAATGACTGAGTCTTTAAGCATGTATTTGGGAGTGGTCTATTCATTTATTTTCTTGATTAAACTGGCAAAATTCTCTTTCATTTAGTGTTTTTTTTTTTTTTTTTTTTTTTTTTAAATCCTCTCACAGAATAGAAGACAGAATTGATCCCAACAAACACAAGATGATGCGATTCACAGAAGCATTTAAGGGTCATGATAGGGATAACTGTGATAAAAGTCTGGAAAAGCTGGAAGTTGATAGGAACATCCTGTACAAGAAGGACATGTCCATTCCATCATTGTCACGAGGCACATCTAGGACTAATTCTCAGAGTGGCTGGGAGATCCTGAGACGCAATACTTTCCACCAACTTCATGGAGAAATCAATCATGCCATGGAAGAAGTCTATGATGTCTAACCTTCTTTATTCATTCCACAGCATGGATTGCATTTGCCACAGTAGTTGTCTCCTCCAACTGTTCATACACACTCCAGCATGCTACAGATTCAACAGCATTGCAGAGCTCTGCCAGTGCATCAAAAATTGTTCCTGGTATCTTTGTTATGATATATAGATTGTCTTTCTCTCCTACTTTTTAGGGGTCCCTGCTTTTGCATTAATATTTGTGCCAAGTTAGTTGGCTTGTTGAGCTAAGGCTTGTAGTTTATAATGCTTGTAAAACCCCACAGAACTGAGCAATAGAAGCCAGCACTGGAATTTCAACAATTTACTAAGAGGCAGTTAGTAAGACCTTTCCCAGAGTGTAACATATATGCAGGTCACTTAAAAAATTATGCATCCTGTTTATTTCCATGAAAAATACAACAGAAACAAAGACCATAATAAAATTGTTTGATAGAGCAAATTCTCATCTACAAAACACTGTTTTTCACAGTAGCCACCACCATTAGCTTTGCATTTCTGCTAGTGATGAACAAGAGCCTGCATGTCTTGCTGGTAAAAATCTGCACCAGTGGTGGTGACTGTCACTGTCACCACTGATGAAATGCATGCTTTGTCATCTCACTGTGCTTGCATCCACTGTTTGGTTTCCATAATTATTCAACAAACATTGATGAATTTGACGAATATCAGTGCAATTGTTTCTGCGCAGAGGAATTCATTTCTACATCTTTGCTTCATATGCACTTCTGTGTCAGACACCACTTAGACTGCCTCTCTGCTACCCCCTATCACACAGCAACAAAACGTAATGGGTTGTTGGTAGGAAGGTTCAACCTTTTCTGCCATACCACCACCATCTGCCTCTAACATAGTGAGACAACACAGTAAAATAGGAGGCATTACTTCTGGAGCAGCTCTTGCAAAATCTTTCCCTTCATTCTCACAGTATCCCTGTGCTCTCATAGCAAATACAGCTGGCTGAAGTACTATTTTACGATTTGACACAGAACTAAATATTAAGTCCAGCCAAACCCTATAACTATGCTCAGGAATGAAGGTAGTCACTGACACTGTTGATTTAAAGGCCTTTAACCTTTCCATTGGCGTTCAAGGCCTGACGTATACTGTTCTCTGAAGAATGGAAAATTCTATTAGCTGCATTTTCGACATTTCTATTTTATCAGGACTGTTCTGTTTGTTTGTTTGTTTTTAATTTTATTTATTTATTTTTGTCATATGAATGCACTTTAAGCTGTATTGCTTTTTAAAAGAAGTGATTTCTATTCCTGGGAGGATCCGAAGGATCTGAAGTGGGAACTTTTTTCCTAATGAGAGGATATAATAAGATGATCTTTGAAGATGTCTACCAACTGAACTCTTCCTCTCCTCTTCTTCTCCTCTTTCCTTTCCTCCTCCACCCTATGCTGTCCTGTCCCATCCCGTCCTGTCCTGTTAAGCGCCCAAGTGAGCTGATGCTGGTCTCTTGCTTTCTGTGGAAGAGGAGGGTTTTGAACTGTAGTGCTTAGTTTTACTACTGAACCATCAAGGTTAGCAGTACAACGTAGCGGTGAATGAAACGGAGAGGAAATATTGGAAAAAAAAAAAAAAAAAAGAACTATTTAAAAGACAGTTCAGAAACTGTGGTGTCTCTCTCCCTCAGAAAGTCCCAAACTATCATTACTAACTCATAACATGACTAAATCACCCAGACAAACATGTTTCAGTCTGCCAGTTTGTCATCTGCCTAGGGTGACTTTAAGATAAACTGAGAAATACCCAGAGAAATAGATTGTCATTCCAGGGGTTTTAGGTTTTTTTAGGAGCGTGGAGTTTCATTCCAGTAGCAGAAGTGTGTGAAAACGAGCACATGGTCTCAACATTTCCATTCCAACAGGACCAGTGACAGAAATTTTGTTTTGAAGAAACCGAGGATTATAATCGAGTGCTAGGAATTGACTCAAACCATCTTGTGAAAAGTAAAGCAAACAGTGAAAAAGCTGGAGACAGTACTATTGAAAAATCATTGCAAATGTCTTCCACGTTTTCTCTTGCAGGTGCAGTAATGAGCATCACAGTATTTGCAATAACACTTATTTATTTAAATGCCTTTTTTCTATTACTTGGATGTGTAGCTATGCTCCAATAGAAGACTGACAGAAGAATGTCTCTCTGTAATTTGACTATATACTTCTGAGTTGTTACATTTGGCTGAATTTAAAGTTTTGATCTTCTAAGTATTGTCACCTCTTTCCTAAATATGTAAGGTTTGCACTGGTGGTCGAAGGAGATGGGAACAATATGGCACATTAACCAGAAATGTGAGTTTCCACAATGATTTTAAATGCATTCTCTTTCACACTGAATAGAAAATAACAGGAAAAGCAGAACTGATGACTTCCCTTCTACCGCTGCAGTCTTGTCATTAACTTGAAAACCTGTAGAAATTCAATTAAGATGGAACTGACTGTGGCCATTTCTGCACAAGAAATTCACTTTGTGATTATTTAATAATATCAATAAATCAAAAAGTCTTGTTAGAGATGTAAGCTGTGTAAGCCATGTCTCTGAGATTGAGTTTGTGTTCTTCTACATTACTGTAAACAATAATGAAAATTTTGACCTAATGACTCAAAGCAACATACTGACATTGCAGGAGGCAGGAAAGAACTCTGCTGGCAGTGATAAGCCTTTACAGATTTCTGAATCCATCCTCCAAAAAAAATAAACCAACAGAAAGTTAGTAGAAGGTACGTTAATGGAATGTCTTTTTAAATAATACATTCTGTAAGAGTTGACTTTCAGAACGTTTGCATAGCACCCACGCATAAAAAAAATCTGCATTATGTATTTACTGTACTTGAAGTTGCCTAATGTAAATAAAAGCAGAGAAAATGTACTGATTTTTATTATGTTTTATAAATCAATGTAGACCAAGTCTTCTTACTCTAGTGTAGAGCTGAATAACAGCTATTGGAATTTGGCTTTCACTTTCCTGAGGTAACTTGAATATTAAATAAATAAATTAATAAATAAATAAATATTGGAAAAAATACAAAAGGCAGCAGAATCTTTTACCGTAAGCAAACAATTAATCAGACAACTTTGCCTAGTATTTTTTTTTCATGTGGAGCTGTGAAGCCCATTTTAAACATTCGTTTTTGTCTGGAGAATCAGCTGTTATAGAAAAAAATTCAGGTGATGATAAAGGTCAGCAGAAATAACAGGTCCAGCAAAAGAGAAATATATTAAATTTGTCTTGTAAATTAAAGCGAATTTAATTTAAAATGGGCAGATTTGCCGTGCCCATGTGAACCTCAGGAGGCACCTGACAAACATTTCATCTGGCTTAATGAAATCTGACTCAGGCTGGGAAACAGCAATATTTGCAATAGCACAAAAGGTAAAGCACTTTTGCTGTAATATTCTGCATAAATACATTGCTCCGTGATTTGCTTCAGTGTTTTGTATTTCATGATGTAGATATATCCTAAAATTATGAATTAGTATTTCTCCTTCTTACTGTTGCGATCTTTCCTCTCCCTTCTAACAATATTGCAACAATTTCAAAACAAATATTCCTGCCTTCCTGGACTCTGCCAATCTCAAAATATATTTTAAGACACTGAAGTGACTTCTGAGTTTGTGATAATGCATCAAGAAAAAATGTTTTCATCCAGCTGCGTGTAGTAAAATGTGAAGTTTTTAGCTGACAATAAAAATCTTCAATATGTGGACTGTCTTGTCTACTTTTTTTGTGTTTAAAATAAATACAATGGGATAATTTCTGTGTTAGTTTCTCTAGTAATGGTCGTGGACATGAACTGACAAAATATTTGGGTCACTTTTTTTGGTTAAATTTTTCGAATAAAATCTGTTTTCCCAGAACAATCCATTTTGGAAATTCATTTATACAATATCTGTATAGAGTTCCAAATACTGATTTTCAGTGCAAAGTAGGAACTATCAACATCCCCTTGCCTCCCCCTTATCTTTTTACTCATTGAGTGGTTAGTGAAAACGGCAGCAGAAGCTCTTTGGAGAATAAGCTAGATCTTCACATTTTTGAAAGGACATACTTCCAACTGTGAGTCCTTGCTATAGCTGTTTGCAGTAAAAAACACGTGGGGAGACATGGGGGGTTTTCTCCCATGCAACAAACAAACAAAACCCCAAAAAAGATGCAGGCAACCCAGTTTTGCTTACATATCTCCCTAAATTTGATGTTGAGAGACAGCTTGAGAAAGTCAGCTGTAAAAAGAAGGTCCTCCTTCTTTATTAAGCGTGAGTAAAATTGCTAATAGATTAAAATCAGGCTTTGTATTTTTTTGTTTGCAGTATCTAATTTAGTCCCAGTCATATCTTCTATGTCGTAGATTTCAATAGTAAGTACAACAACAAAACCATCCTTATTTATGTCTTGTATAGAAGTAAATAAATTAAAAGTACACCCTAACCTGATTTTTGGAAAGCTCTCCAAATGGGAGTAATGTAATCCAACAAATACTTGGTTCATATTGGTATAGCTAATACCAGTAGCCATTTACTACTGATAATAAGAAGTTGGTTATTTTAATTTCCAAAATGATGGCATTTAAATCGAACTCTCAGTTGTGCACAAAGAACTCTTCTGCAAGAGCTTTGAGTTTGCCTTGAGAAAGTCTGCAGTGTAATTCAGAAAATAAACCTGTGATGCTATCATCAAGAGTCTTTAAAACAGACCGTATATAAGCCTCTGGTCTTGCTATTGTTTTGTAATATATTGACAATTGCAAGCCATGTGAATTCTGCTTTATCTCTGCTTTGCATCACCCCTACGCATACATGAAAAAGTTGTTCACAGAACACATACCTAGTCATTAATAAAATACCATCTCAGTTAATTAATTACAACAAAAAGAGAACTTTAGCGCATCTCAGAAAGAAGCTTAACCAGCCTATGGTTAGAATGAATGATTAAAACACACAAATAAACAAACAAATAAAAACCCACATAGAAGTTCTAAGTTGATCTAAGAATTTTTGTGTACAGTATTAATTCAAGTTCCTAGGAGGACAATATTTGCAACACAACCTGATCAGTTATAGAATTGGTAAAATAAAGAGAGAATGACATGTGGGATTTTATTTGTTTGTTTGTTTGGTCAAAATCATTCTGTGCATCTATTCTAGCCAGCTGGATGAAGAAGGAAAAGTTGAAGAGTCAGAGATCTCCGTCAGAGATCCAGTTACTGGAGTCATGTAGAAAAACAGTCACCCTGGCCTGTAGTGTTACCCAGTAGAGGGAGAGTAGTGATCTCAGCACCAAACACAGGTGGGGTAAGTGCATGTTTATGAGTGCAACAGGTGCAAGCAACTAGTCAGGCTATATGCACCCATGGACTGTAGTGTCTGTTACTGGGTAGAGTGGGAGCCCCAGTGTCAATAATTAGAGGGTCCACAGCAACCTGGATC